AGAGTTCTCTTGATGATACAGGATGGTGGTAAGTGTTCTGTATTGATGATACAGGATGGTGGTAAGGGTTCTGTATTGATACAGGCTGGTGGTAAGGGTCTTCTATTGATAATACAGGCATGTGGTAAGGGTTATCGATACAGACTAGTGGTAAGGGTCCTCTATTGATGATACAGGATGGTGGTAAGGGTCCTATTGATGATACAGGTGTTGGTAAGGGTTTTCTATTGATGGCACAGGGTGGTGGTAAGGGTCCTCTATTGATGGTACGGGCTGGTGGTAAGGTTCTTCTATTGATACAGGATGGTGGTAAGGGTTCTCTATTGATGATACAAGATGGTGGTAAGGATCCTCTATTGATGATACAGGATGGTGGTAAAGGTCCTCCATTGATGATACAGGCTGGTGGTAAGGGTTCTGTATTGATGGTACAGGATGGTGGTAAGGGTTCTGTATTGGTACAGGATGGTGGTAAGGGTTCTGTATTGATACAGGCTCATGGTGAAGGGACTCTTGACGATACAGTATGGTGCTAAGTGTTCTGTATTGATGATACAGGATGGTGGTAAGAGTTCTGTATTGGTACAGGGTGGTGGTAAGGGTTCTTTATTGATTATACAGGATAGTGGTAAGGGTTCTGTATTGATACAGGATGGTGGTAAGTGTTCTGTATTGATACAGGCTGGTGGTAAGGGTCCTCCATTGATGATACAGGATGGTGGTAAGGGTTGTGTATTGATACAGGATGGTGGTAAGGGTCCTCTATTGATGATACAGGCTGGTGGTAAGGTTCTTCTATTGATACAGAATGGTGGTAAGGGTCCTCTGTTGATGATACAGGCTGGTGGTAAGGTTCTTCTATTGATACAGAATGGTGGTAAGGGTCCTATTGATAATAAGGCTGGTGGTAAGGGTTCTGTATTGATGATACAGGGTGGTGGTAAGGGTTTTCTATTGATGATACAGGATGCTGGTAAGGGTTCTGTATTGATAACGGCTGGTGGTAAGGGCTCTGTATTGATGATACAGGCATGTGGTAAGGGTTATCGATACAGACTGGTGGTAAGGGTACTCTTTTGATGGTATGGTAAAGTAAAGGTTTTATGTTGATATACTGTATGTTGCTGATATTAGCTAGTTCTCTATTGATGGTATAGGGTGGTGTTAAGGATTTGAACCCGAGAGAGAAAGTGTTTAGCTTAGTTTCTCATAGGGTCATGGGTTTAGGTTTTTTTTAACTAGACTCATTTCTCCATAGGGAGTAAATGGTTTGATAGGTGAGAATAAATGATAAATTCCTAATACAATAAAGTGATTTTAAAGCAGGAACTATGATATATACTACCGGTAACAACCACTCGATGTAGTAACCAATGAAGGTGACAGTAGGTGTAAAGTAAGAGATGCCGAAGTGTTCGAGCTACGGTCATTGAGTTACGAAAACATCGAGTTACAAAAATTACCCATATTTTTAGCTCTGTCGACTTTGTCGAGCAGAGCTTATCATATGAGTGATTGTCCGTCGTCGTCCGTCGTCGTCCGTCGTCCCTGTCAATGTTTTACTTTTTCGACTTCTTCTTGAAAACTACAAGCCTGAATGCTTTGATACTTGGTGTATATGTACCTTGGGTAGACCTCTCTTAGGTTTGTTCATTTCATGTTGATATCTTCAATTCTCTAATTTTGGTGAATATTTTTGTCATTTTTGCTAAAAAGTGATATTTTCGACTTCTTGTTAAAAAATGCATGTGCAATTGCTTTGATGTTACATATATAGGTACTACATGTGGACCTCTCTCAGATTTGTTCATTTTGTAATGATATCTTTAATTCTCTAATTTTGGTGAATATTTTTATCATTTTTGGTAAAAAGTGATATTTTTGACTTCTTGTTAAAAACCGCAAGTCCAATTGCTTTGATACTACATATATAGGTACTACATGTGGACCTCTCTCAGATTTGTTCATTTCGTGATGATATCTTCAATTCTCTAATTTTGGTGAATATTTTTGTAATTTTTGGTAAAAAGTGATATTTTCGACTTCTTGTTAAAAACCACAAGTCCGATTGCTTTGATATTACATATATAGGTACTACATGTGGACCTCTCTCAGACTTGTTCATTTTGTGATGATATCTTTAATTCTCTAATTTTGGTGAATATTTTTGTAATTTTTGGTAAAAAGTGATATTTTCGACTTCTTGTTAAAAACCAAAAGATCAATTGCTTTGATATTACACATATAGATACTACATG